GCCCAATCGTATTTGAATTGTCCATATTTCATAACTTTTCCTAGGATTTTATGTGTTTTATACACAAGCTAAGCAATAAAAATCAATAAAAGAAGATGATACCGAATGTAGCTCTAAGGCAGACTTCTTGTCAGCACTCAGTGACTGTTGCAGTAATGAATGGATGAAGGATTCAAGTTTTTCATCTTTAGTACAATCTTGACACATTACTTATACAGAAGGAAATAGCCTGTAAAATACAGAGTGCTTTCCGAAAACTATTCTATAAAGTGTTAAGGGATTCAAAGACACCGAGTGGGGATGTAAACCCTACAGTGCCCTCTCAACCACAATCTGACCAGATGTAGGCACCACACCTGGGCATCAAAACGACTATAAAATACAGAATGCCTTTGTAGTGAGGGTACTTGGAAGCCATCATTTATAGCAATTCACAAATTCAAAACTTGTTTCTTTAAGATCATTTTAGATGGTAAATAGGTAATTGGTACAGCATTTAAAATGCTCAATACTATGAGAAACCAACTCTATTTTAAGTTATTATTCAACTCTAATTTCACCAGGAAGAAAAAAAATAAAAGCTCAGTTTGTTCCCATTATGAATTCAGCATTGCTACCATGCTTCCTAATGTCTAGCTTTCTTTTTTTTTTTTTAACAAAGCAACAATCACGATCAGGCTTACAGTGTCCAGCAGTTAGCAGTATCTAAATAAGTTTAGTAGATTTTTGTTTCAGTGATCAGTTACTTCCTTACCTTGTTACAGTTAATGCTGATTCCTCATTTAGAAGAGGACACATTATTTACCTCACTGATAGATTAATTTACCTAAAACAAATCGATTTAAAGACAACCATTCGATAAGTAGGATGGTAAACAACTTAACCTGGGTGTCACTTAATACACCCTAACCACCAATTTCCTGTAGAAGAGATTCAGGTCAAGATAATCTAAGTAATTCCCGTGCATGAAAAAGTAACACACTATGAATATTGGAGGACAGATGTTCTGATTTCCACTCAGGTTGGGGCTGCTTTCCATGCTGGAGAGCAGAGCAAGATGGGGTGTCATGGAGTATAGCAGTGAGAAGAAGTATTTTGAGTCCTAATCTCAATTAAAAAAAATGTAAAGGTGAAAAATCACCAGATCACCCAGTCTGTCTTTATGAATAATTATGGGGCTGTGTCTTGCAGTTAGTATAAGTATGTGGTCCAGGATTCTGTATTCTAAACCATTTTGATGTTTTCCATCAGTTTTAGCAAAACGTGCATTCCTTAAGGTAAGATTCTGGCACTTTCTCTAGGAAATCATAGATGTTCAATCCACGATAGGTCTTAAAAATCCCATCCCAAATTCTGAGGGAAAATACTCTTATGATCAGAGCTATTAGCAGAAGTGAAAAGAACATGTATTACAATCAGATGAGAGAATTATTGCCATTAAAACAATAATACATATATTCTTGATCATGTTTTCTCAGTTATCTCAATTTGTCAAATAATTGAAATCACAAAGGAAGAAATATTATGCATCTGCTTTATAAGTGACAGGAAGAGTGGCAGCAGAGAAAGAGGTAGAAACAGGGATAATAAACAAGTATAATAAATTGAATGGTAAACTGTTCTGATTCAAATTGTGTTTCCATAGCATTAACCATCCGAATATATTAAGAAAAACAGTTACTTAAATATTTCTAATAGTCAAAGTTTTGACATTAAGTGAAATGTGCCCTGATTTTTACCTTATTTCACTTTAATTGTAATTCCACAGAATGAAGGTAGAATTTCAAATCTAAGCAATTATGCTAATGTTCTATTAGAAATCAGTCACCTCGTTCAAGCATAGACACTATCCAAACATTTTTTCATCATTTTCACTAAATGTGTTCTTGTTCTATACATCAAATATTTTTAACAATAAGCTCAGGAAACAGGGCTAACTTCCTCCCCTTCCAAACTATTTGTGAACATTGAGCTTGTTGCTAACCTCTTAAAGCCTCATTGTCCACATTTATAGGTTTGATCTACTACTACATAATTCAGAAGTATAATGAGTAAGACAAGAAATAATTTGAAATACCCCAGCATCATAACATGGCTCTAAATTGCACGTTAGTCTACTTTTCCTTTGTGCATTTTTTGAATGAGTAGTTTCTGAAATGGTCATGCACATGTATATAACCAAGGCCAATGAAGAAATAAAGAAAACAAAACACAAATATCACAAAATAGATTTATAAAGAGGATCAGAAAGTGTCAATTTTGACAACATGTTAGTAAAACAAAATAAAATACTCCATGAGG